TTCAAATGTCCCAAAGGGGGATAAGCTGAAGTGTGGACACTTGTGTTGGCTTCTGCTCTGCTGCACAGCACAAGCATGGGCCAAAGAGGGCAGCAAGCCCAGCACTCCAGCTGATGCCTGGATTCCCCAGAGCCTTGAAGGTCAGGTTCAAAAACTGATCCGACAGGGAAGGGTGCTTGGGTGGCTCAGTCGGTTGAGCAGCTCCTGATTTCGGCTCAGGTCATGATCTCAGGGTCCTGGGATTGAGCCCTGCATCCGGCTCTGCGCTCCGTGTGGAATCTGCCTCAGGATTCTCTCTCCCTCCCTCTGCCCTTCCCCCTGCACACATGCTCTCTCTCTAAAATAAATAAATCTTTTTTTAAAACTCTGACAGGGAAAACTAGGACTAAATATATCTAGGCAGAAGACTGAGCTCTCAACTATATGGCTTTTAACAAATCACTCCTCATTCTTTGGGTCTATGAATAGGATTTGCTAGAAATTCTATAACCCAATGATTTAAAACAGCAAAAATGTTTCTCAGATGCTTTTCTCATTCATTTAGAAAATATTTACTGGGAACCTAATGTGTATCTATTGCTAGGTACTAGGGATAAAAGAGGAAGAAGACATGGTTTCTGTTCTCAAGAGTCTTATAGTACAGTCAGAGACAAACAGATGCCTACCACACAGGATGGTAAATGCTCCCATAGTGGAAAGCACAGGATGCTAGAACCTAATCCTCAACATTTGGGAGTGGGTAGGTGGGTGGGCGTAAGGAGAGGGCTGAGGAAGTGACATAGGGGAGAAGATTCTTAAAGAAATTCAGCCTAATCATCAACTGTTGAGGAGGATATGCTGGAATTCTCATGCCTTGCTGGGGTGGGGGGAAGGTGAGGAATAGAAAATGATACAGCTTTGGAAAACAGCTTGGTAGTTTAATAATAGTGAACTTACATTTCCAATATGACCTAGTTGTTCCATTCCTAGGTATCTACCCTAGAGAGATGAAAATATATGTTTAAAGATTTTTAAGCAGCTTTATTAATAATAGCAAGACACTGGAAACAACCCAAATGTTCATCAAGAGGTGGATAAATTAAAAAACTGGAATGCAGAAATATAATGGAATACTGCTAAAAGTGAACAAGAACCAAATTACTGATACATGCAAAATGAATGAATCTCAAAAACAATCTGTTGAGCGACACAGGCTAAACAAAACACAGACTAAATCAATTTAAATTTAAAAACTGATACTTGATTCAGTTATTAGGAAACATTTAAGTATGTTTGGAGAAACTTAGGTATGGGAATCTACTTTTCAACTATAAATCTTATGAAACCTAGATACAAAGCAAGTGCTTTATGAAAATTTAGCACTGAATTGAGACGTAAATATGCACTGGATTTCAAAGACTTAGTAGGAAAAAAGTAAAATGGCTCAATAATATTTTTTATTGATTACCTGTTGAGATGATTTTTATTACCCTGGGTTAAATAAAATGTATTATTAAAATTAATTTTGTTTTTTTAACCCTTTTACCATGCTACTGCAAAATATAAAACTATATACCTTGCTTGCATTACTTTTCTATTGGACATTGCCATTTATATCTCCATTGTGTTGAAAACAAAGATAGATACATCCATCAAAATTAAAACTGTACACTTAAAATGGGCATGTTTTATTATAAATAAATGATGCTTCAATAAAGTTGATAAATACTAAATTGGGTAGTGTATGTGCATGTGTGATAATGTGTGTGTGTAAATGACTATCTTGCTAATGACCTTTACTTATCAATAATCAGAAATGTAAAAAAAAAAAAATTCACAGATATGCAAACACTTAAGAGGAACAGTTCATGTGACACATTAAATTATATTGCAGTTACTTAACATCGGCCTCCCTCACTAGTGATTGAGTTTCTCGAAAGCAAGAATTCTGTCTTGTTCACCTCTGTATTAAGCCTAGCACTCAACATAGTAAGTTAACATGGTACTTTATCAGTGTTTTAATAGCTGCAGAATTGTCCCAGACACATTACATATAGTTTAGTTTCCACAAAATCCCTGCAAATTTGGCATCGTTACTCCCATTTTTCAGATGAAAAACTGAGGGTCAGAGGTCAGAAAGGTTGGAGTAACTCACCAAATAGCCACCAGTAAGTGAAAGAGCTTTGTTCCAAACCCACATTTACCTCAACTCCCAAAACCCACTCTTCCATGCTATATCACACTGCCACCTTTCCAGGAGGGCATTTCATGACTGCTCAATGCCTAAATCCCAGTAAAGAGTGGTACTTAGGAGCAATGGAACCACAGAATTTTCCTAAACTTCTTGTGCTACAGCCTCCAAGTCTTGAATGGGCTTCTCTCTAAACAGAGAGCAACTTGGCAACTCTTGCTAGATCAGGATGAATCTAGTAGGAAAAAAAAAATCCCTCCCAATTAAACTTTCAATTTGGGAGTCTGAAGAAGAAAAATAACACAGAACAAAGAAGCATGGGAAAGAGAAAAAAGGGAATGCTGAATCTGCTAAAATAGCTAGTTAATGAAAAGAATTAATCTAACAGTAACTTCAGCATTCAAAAATGAAAAGTTAGGAGATCCTACAGAGGTACAATTTCTAAGGCTTTTGGAGCACCTTTTTAATTAGGCTCCCAGAATCTCAGCATTCCTGTTTGAATAATCCATATTTCTGGTTATTTATTCATCTCCCCACTGCCGCACATTACCAACCCATATGCTACAGGAATACATCACTTCATATTTGCACTCAACCATCCAAAGACATTGGCAGTTCAGACCTTTAAGAAGCTTAGGAAAAAGTCCCTGTAGAGTACAGTTTTAAGGTTAGAAGGCCCAGGAAGCCAAATGCATCTTCTTTATATGCTATTTACTCGAGAGAAGGCGGGTCATTTCAACAAAAGGACAGGCAATTAGAAGGGTAAAGGAGATAAACAAACAAAAGACTCAAGAGAGTAAAGCTAGCAAAAATCAGCTGAACACTAAAGGCCTCCGAATAATTCCAATGCCCCTCTCTGCACTTTAAAATAGATTTTTTAAAGCAATTCCACAAAGGACGATTTTCAGTCAATCCAAGGTCTCGTATGCACTGGACAAACGAAGAGGTCTACTGTGCCCCCAGCCCTACACATGCCTAAAGAGAAGATGTTTTAGAAACATATACCTTGATAATCTTAAATACAAAAATAGTTTTAAACAAAAACATGGTCATTGAAGAATTTGCTACAATATCAAAACAATGGAAATAGTCTCAATATCACCAACAGAATACTAAGTAAGCTACATTTCCTTAGAGTCCATTATACAGTTACTGAAAACTCTCACAAAGATTATGTCACCACATGAGAAATGCCGTGTTAAGTTTAAAAAGAAACAGTACAGAAAATTACATGTGTGACAGGACTAAAAAGCTGGCAAAAACAAGGAAATAATTACAGGAAAAAAGAGTGAAAGAAATCTACACTCAAAGTTGGGTTGTGTTTACGTGACAAGAGCTGTTTTTTTAGCTTCTTAGAGGCAGGAATCCTGTCTTACTCATTTCTTTTATAAGGGCAGCACTTAACATAGTACCTTATCAGTGTTTTAACAGCAGTTTTGCATGTCTATATTCTAAATTATATTTAATAGATACATTTACTGAATTTATAAAATTTTTTTTCAAAGATCTAGTTTAGCATAGTTTGCATGTACATGAATAGAAGTTTCAAGAATGCAGACTCTAGCTCGATTTCATGAAGAGTAATAATGATTAGTGTCTTCCAGCCACACAAACATGGTCTAGTGGCTCTCAGTTTAAAAAATTGCCCCTTGGGCGCCTGGGTGGCTCAGACGGTTAAGCGTCTGCCTTCGGCTCAGGTCATGATCCCAGGGTCCTGGGATTGAGTCCCGCATCGGGCTCCCTGCTCCTTGGGAGCCTGCTTCTCCCTCTGCTTCTCTCTCTCTCTCTCTGTCTCTCATGAATAAATAAATAAATAAATAAAAAAAATCTTAAAAAATTGCCCCTTAACCCCCACCACACTCTGGTCACCATACCCCTGCTCCCATTTCTCCCAGATTTCTCAAGGGTTATTGACACAAGCTACCTCCCATTTACTTCCAACATTAGGATTCTATGAAATATACTAAACACGATATCCATTTTAAAAATTTTATTTTTATTTATTTGACAGAGAGAGACACAGCGAGAGAGGGAACACAAGCAGGGGGAGTGGGAGAGGGAGAAGCAGGCTTCCCGCTGAGCAGGGAGCCCCATGTGGGGCTGGATCCCAGGACCCTGGGATCATGACCTGAGCTGAAGGCAGATGCTTAACGACTGAGCCACCCAGGCGCCCCAACATGATATCCATTTTAAATACCTTAAGGAATTAGAGCATAAATAATAAGAAGATCTATAAGGAAATTACTATAAAGAAAAGTTCGAGAACTGTCTTGCACATTTTCTTATCTCCTATGCTAGGCACATAGCACATGTGCAATTCACAGAAAATATATAATGAAAAATATGTATGAATAAAAAATGATATTCTGCTATCAACAAGAAAAATACAGACAAACATATGGAATAGATAGGTCTATGTGATATAAAGTTTAGAAATTAACATAGGGTATGTTTAGAAGATCATGACTAGATTTCCCAAAACCAACACAGTAAGAGAAGGAGCAAAAAGACATTTCCCTTCAAGAGAGCAGTCATATCACCAACTGATACAACAGGGCACAAACAGACCAAAATGTACTTTCTATTCACCCACTCTAACTTGAGAGAAGACCCTCCCGCCCCCCACCACACACACACACACACACACACACACACACACACACACACGCAGGCACGTGCCACACGCACACACACACCCCTGAAGGCCTTACTGTTTTTCGTATCTAATAAACTCAATGGACTAAAAGACCATAGATATGTGTTCTGGAATTTGGGCTAACGGTGAGGAGCTGGACAAAAAAAATGGAGCACTAGGAGATAAGAAACGTACCTGAGCATGAGATTCATCAGCTGCAGACCCTCACCCTTCAGGAAGCGCTCACGATTGGAACTGAGCATTAGGCAGGAACAGAGTGAATCAAACAGATTCTCCATCATCTCCTGCTCTTCAGCGGTGCTAGGATTGTGTCTTTTAAACACCTGTCAAGCAAAGACACCAGAAAGCACAGAGCCATAAGAGAACATCTTTTCATCAGTCAGCACTCAACAATTTCCAAAGTCTGCCTGTCCTGATAACCCCAGCAACTGAGGAAGCAGAAGCTCACCAAACAAAATTCTCTACAGCTTCCATGTTAGAGAAACTGGACTTTCTGAGTCACAGGTATTAGATAGCTATCAGCTCAAACAAAAAACCAAAACACTCAACTGACCACTGGGTCCATAAGTGATTGATAGTTCCAAGGAGGCAGATTTAAAAACAAAACAAAGCAAAAAAACCAAAAACCCAAACCAACAAAACCCTTTTACTATGAAATAGAGCACAGATATAGAAAATTCCATAAAAGGCATATACAGCTGAAACCACCATCTCCAGGTCAAAAAACAACTTTGCCAGTTACCTCCAAAGCCCTCTACTTGCCCAGCCCAACCATGACCCATTTCACCCCTTCTAAAAGAAACCACAATCTAGAAGGGCCACAACCTAAGGAAGTTTCCTAACCGTCAGGGCTACTGAACTGCCTCACACAGCAGTTGTGGCTCTAAGTCATGGAAACAGCTAAAAGCAGACGTTTCGTCTCTGCCAGAGATATACGGCATGTTAAGAGGAAAGCCTTTTAACAGTATATGCATACCCATAGACTCTACTAAAAAATGATCAATAATCTTGCAGGAACAGGACTAAGCACCTTCCCAGAACACTGGGAACAGATTCACATTTCAAAGCTCTATTTTTTGGGGTGGAGGCCAAGCCACTCAGGCTGCTGGCACCAAGATGGCAGATGTATGCAAACTGACATCTCAGACACTCCCAACACTCAAGATTTATCCAAATGATCTATATTCAGTCTTGGCTTTGGAATAGCAAAGAGATTCAGAAGAGATCTGTTAGAAGAAATCTTAACAGTATTTTCAGAATGCCAGCAGAACATTTCAACTAGACTTACATTTCTTACAATGAGAAAATGGCATTTTCTAAATTTTTTTTTTTTAAAGATTTTATTTATTTATTTGACAGAGAGAGAGAGACAGCGAGAGAGGGAACACGAGCAGGGGGAGTGGGAGAAGGAGAAGCAGGCTTCCTGCCGAGCAGGGAGCCCGATGCAGGGCTTGATTCCAGGACCCTGGGGGATCGTGACCTGAGCCGAAGGCAGACACTTAATGACTGAGCCACCAAGGCGCCCCCATTTTCTAATTTCTTATTCCAGCCTCTAGAACCACATCCTTCCCTATCCTCCTCCGTGACCTCTATCCCACAGCATTGGAACTTGTATTCCTTGAGCTTATCTGGATTCTAAATGAAGAGAATCCATTTTACTGGCAGATTGAAAGGAAAGAAAGTGATTCATCTTGGGACTGGGTCAACTGGAAATAATTTGGTATTCTCGGCCCAAGAATATACACTTAAGCAGGAAGCACACCTCTTCTGAATTGACAAATAGCAGAAGACGGAGAAAATCAATCCATAGCAGATACACAGTGATACCTGGTCATAAAGAGCAAATGACTAAGAAAAGGAGGCAAACTATGTAGCTCCACTGTAACCTCAAACCTGCCAACATACTCCATATGGCTTGCATCACACGGCCTATTTCTTCCCACATTTTCCAGCTCCACCTCCCATTTAAAGCAGGCCATGTATCTTCACGGCAGACAGGAAGCATAAGAATTACTCACGGATAACTGCTGAAGAAGCACATCGATTCCATCCAGCTCCCCAAGCAATTCCCTGTTTTCTAAAAGGGGAAAAAAATAGAGGAAGAAAAAAATGAAGCTAACTGTCAGATTTTACAGCCGTCTAACACTGATACATCAGCAAACAAAATCAATACAGCTTGACAGAGTACAAAAGCTGCACAGAGAGCGAGAGGGAGAGCAAGGGGATGCCAAAGGCAAGAGAGCTTGCTGTCATGATCTGAAACAAGCCTGGCTCCTATCCTAACAGAATATCAATACTGAGAGGGAGCCTCACCATCATTGTCCTGGAGCAATATGGCCAGCACTTCACTACAATACAGTTTGTTGGCATCGAAAGGCATCTTTGCCTGTGGGGAAATAGGAGAAATGAGAAAAAACATTAAGGGGCCATGCTTCCTTCCCCAGGACGAATTTTTCACAAGAACTAGGATCTGAGTTAGAAAGAAGTAGAAGTTAGAAAGCAAAAAGGCAGGTTAATGATAAAAAAAAAAAAAAAAAAGTCTGCCTCTGCTCTCAAGAAATCAGACTCAAATACTACATAGTAAAACCATAAATGGCAGATGTACACAATGGCTCTCACATTGCTAATGCCCAGGTATGAAAGTCACCTCCTCAGTGAAGCCTTCCCAGGTTCCCCATTTTAAGTCCAGGGACTGTTGTCTAGCACATAGTATATACTCAAATGTGAACTAGAGGAATGATTGAAAGTTTTGAAAGTTTTGAAATTTTAAGACTAAAATCCACTATGAAGCTTTGTTCACATATTACAATCATAAAACTAGGCTGTAAATTAGCTGACAGATGATCAGAGAAGGTGAAAAGAAAGCAAGTTCTTGTTTAGATTAGTTGAATGTATTTATAATAAAGTAGTTCCTTTTGCATTTTTTTAATGCTTAAAATTTAATTTGAAATCATAAACCTATCTGTTCGTGTGCCATAATCTGCCTACTATTTAAAAAGGAAACCACATTAAAAATGCAGAAATGTGTTAATATTTTAACACCCAAATTACTACCCACAATTCTTTCCCTGCTGCATGCTCTGCTACTTGGTGTTTCAGAGGGGACATATCTACTGCAGAGACTATCTTTTATGGCTGTCCACATTGTTGCTTCGGTAGCGAGACTCAACTATCTCACCATTAATAAGGCCCCTTTGGATAAAGGTGCACAGAGAGGACCAAACCTCATCGATGTGTTTTTATTTACCGTCCCTTGATCCTTAAAATGCAGGCACATAGACAACAATTGTTAATCAGCAGCAGTCTTGCTACCTATCCAGGTTTTTGAAATGACAAATCATTTCTGTACCTGGAAAGGACAGGAAAGTGTTCGTCTTAGAGCTAACACCTCCATCACCTTAGTGCTATTCACAGTTCTGTCTGGACATTGATTTTGTACTTAAGAAGGAAGAGTGGCCCCTAATGAAGCAACACCCAGCAACTTTTCAGTTTTCTATGCACGTCTTTCTCGTCAAGCCTAAGTCCACCCCACAGGGTTTCAGGAAGCTGACCATCTTAAGTTAAAAGATCTGTGAATGCAAAGTCTTACGTGTACTGACTGCAAGGTATGCTCCCTGGGCAAGCTTGAGGCCTTGTTTCAAGAAATTCAGTATATAACAGCCAGGGTTTAAATGTAATCTGTAGTATGTTTCACTTTAAGGAAAGCAGTTTTATAAAAATCAAAACACAGTGATAAGCCAAGGGGTAAGCATCTCTATCAGAATCAAGGATCTGCTAATAAAATTACTCAAATTATTTAAATTACAAGTATTGGTATTTTTAAATGATTTAAGCCACACCACTTCACTTATATGCAGCTTTTCAAGGACCAGGGTTCTTGTTTGAACCAAGAGGCACGTAACTAAAAGAAGCCAAAAGACATCATAGCCTTTCTGGGGTTTCAATGGCTCTTGTCCTTTATTTGATTTTATAAATCCTATCTCCAAGATGAGGGGGAGATTTTCTCTTTTTTTTCAACGAGTATTTATTAGGCATCTGCTATACGCAAGACAAAGAACTAAACATGAAAGCACACAGGTGAATTAGACATGAACCTTGTCCATTGTTATGGCACTTAAAAATATTACACTGAATTAAAAATAATTTTAATAATTAATACGGTCATGTTTAAAAAATATATATATGAATCTGGGATTGATGCACCTAGGTTTGACTCATGAGCATGTACTACCTATGTGACACGAAGTCTGCAGTTCCCAAACTGTGTGCCGAGGTACCTGGGGTGTCAAACTCAATTCACAGGGGCACTGCAGGATACTTTAAAATTTCCAAAGAAAGCACAGTGACATTTGACATCTGTTGAACACTGCATTAACTACTAGCTCCAGGTATACTCTTTTGATGACATCCTGTCTTTGTGAAGCTGGTTTTTGGTGGTTGCTGTAATAAAAGAACTGTGTGAAAATCAGTATGGAGAGCAGGAATGAGGGTGATGGTGTTCAACTGGATTCCAAAGTTTTAGAAGTTGTGCAGCACTCAAAGGCACACACATCTATTAGTAAGTAACTGTGGTCTTTAAGTATAAAATAAAATTTTTTTTTCTTTTAATTCATGTGTATTACTTTTTCAAATGGCTACTAAATTGTTAGGACATAAATACATATTAAATTGCTTGGACCTAACTACTTAATAAACACGATTGTTAGGTCCTTCCTGGCAGAGGGGCACTGTAAAAACGAAATTCCTAAGACATGCACCATGAACTGAGAGTGGGCATATATGACCCAAGGAACATTTCTCGGTCTTAAGTTTTCTTACCTGTAAAAAGCAAATAATAAAAAACATCCTAATAAAAATAATAAAATAAATAAATAACATAACATCAGGAAAGTTACTATGAGAATTAAATAAGGTAATATGGAAGTACCTAACACATAAGTTTTTCTCATGACTATAATCAGAAACATCCAGGCTAGAATCTCAGCTCTTACGGTTTTTAGCTACGTGATCTTGGCCAAATTACTCTGCCTCTCTCGCCCGATTCCTCTTATGTTAAGTAAAAATAAGTAATAATTTCCTCATGGGGTAGTTGGATTAAATTAAACAGTATATACATCACAGGCACCCAACAGCTAGTTCCCCTCTACCGAGAATTCCTGATTGCCCCAGGAAATCTCCAGCTTTTGCTGTGACACCTCAAGGAGTTTCCAGTTTGCCCGAAGTAAACTTTTAAAAATCAAAATTATAATTTCATCACTTTTTCTATTAAAATATAGGTTCTTTGAAAAACTGGCATGAAGGAGGAATCTAATCAGAAAGTCAAAATGATTAGACCCCGTAACTCCCCAACACTGAGCCCTAAAATGCTTCAGAGCCTGAAAGGGGTACCAGCTGGAAAGTACCTTGGCAAGAAGGGGAGGCTTTGGAGATACCCGGGCCCAACTGTCACAGGCTCTGCCCCATACTTCCTGTGGGGTTGGGGCAATCACTTCTCTTCTATGGAATTCTTCCCACATCTGTAAACTGAGGATAGCAGCACCCACTTGGAAGGTTGTAAGGATCAAAAATAATATATGTGAGGTATCCAGAATAACGCTTCCCACACAGTCAACAGCCAACACATGACACTCATATCAGATGGGGAAAACTTAATGGTGATGATAAGGACAACCAAGTATTTTAATCTTGTGGAAAAGAAATAAAGGAAACTGTGGGCCAGGTGGCAAGGAAGGAGTCTATTCTTCCACGTCTAGCCAAAGACAAAAAGTCACCAAGGAAGTTTTATTTCTATTTAAATATCAGCCAGAGACGATGGCCTCCAAGCTTACAAAATATCAAACTGCCAAATTACAAGGATATTTAGTTAAAATCAGGAGAAAGGAGAACTCATTTAGGAGATATGGTCTCTTGGAGTTTGCAAAGTTAACCAATAGAACTTGAAGCTTTTGGGGGCTCTCTTCTATCCAGGAGCCTGGTGATCCTAAATCTTTCAGCTGTCAGAGTAATTATAGAGTCAAGCATAGGTTTGTACTCAGCATGTACTAGCCTCGAATAAAATTAAACTTCACCTCTTTGGGAACTGCTGCTTTTTTGGAAAGTACAAAACAATTATGCTCCCACCCGCAGCCAGAAGCTGCAGGTTATTTCTGCAGCTCACCTCTGGTACCTGGAACACATGGGGCAGGTTCAGACACATCCACAGCTCTGTACAATTGCTGAAGCAGATTGTGCCCTGTAAAATCCCAGCTCCTGGTCATAGGAGGCTAAGAACTTCCCATCAACCAGTTGTACACGTAGTATCATGTAGCCAATTCTCAATTCATTAGCTCATATGCTGAATGTTGCAACTGTTTCTGAAACACTGATTTAACTAGGAAACAAAGGGAATCTTAATTTTGTTTCTTTAGAAAAGGAAAAATAAAACTTTGGGTTTTGGTGTTATTTTCAATAGTACACAACATCCTAATAAGCTGGTATTCCCCATAAAAATGAACTGTGATGGTCTGGCTCACACTCCTGTTACCTGCTCACCTGCTAACCCATTTAATGCAATCATCTGCAATGGGTTTCATCCTCATTAGCACAAATTAGTGACATTTATTTAAATGGATGAAAAATCCGTGAGTATTTCTATATACTGCTAGGCTACCAGCACCAAAAGAGGACTCGTCAAGGTGCCACTCACTGAAGAACTACTCAAAGACTACTGAATAAATATGGGATGATCAGTCAAACAGCAAGGCTTAACAGGCAACATAAACTATGGTGGTTCTCAGATGTTAACCAGACACCAAGTCACCTGGAGGGCTTCTTAAAACTAACTGTCAGTCCCACCCAAGATGGGTGGAGTCAGCGGGTCAAGGGGTAGGTTCAAGAATTTGCATTTTTTTTTTTTTTAAAGATTTTATTTATTTATTTGAGAGAGAGAGAATGAGAGAGAGAGAGAGAGAGCACGAGAGGGAAGAGGGCAGAGGGAGAA